CCTAAACCCTAAAACCTACTACCACATTCGTGTCCGCCGGAGCTCGGCCAATCCCCAGAGTTGAAGGGCCTCCTGCAGCCCGACCAAGCCGGACGCATCCAGAAGACGACCCGCTACCCTTCACAGGGAAGGCTTAGGGCAAAGTTTAGGGTTTAGGGTTTTGGGGTTTAGTGTTCAGGGTTTAGGGGGTGTAGTGTTTAGGGTTTAAGGGGTAGGGTAAGGGGTTTAGGGTTTAGGGCTTAGGGTTGGGGGTGTTGTTAGTAGGATTCAGGGGTCAAGGTCCTGGGTTCAGAGTTCAGGGTTTGGGGGCTAAGGCTAGAGATCATCTGTTGGCATTCCCTTCGGGGGTTCTTAGAAAATTCTGCAAGGGCTCTTCAAAAACACTTTCAAGGCTCTTGCAGCCCTACTCTTCGGATTGCTACCAGTAGAGCTCGATTCATTGGGTTTACCTGGACCCTAAAGAACCTACCTTTTTGGGGCTCCTTGTTATGATCGTGGGAATCCCAGTGCCACGCCGTCTTCCGGTTTAGGGTTTAGGGTTTAGGGCTCATCGCTTTCGGATTTCGGGTTTCGGCATTGCCGTATTAGCCTGCCAGATCATATCATAAATCCTAGGCTCGAAGGCCTACGTTCCGATCCCAAAGCTCTGAATACCCAGCAGCATACAGTCAACACCCAAACACGAAACCTATAGAACCCTTAAGACAAACCATTAACAAAACATTAACAAGGTCATATGCCCTTCTTTCTCAGCACCATAAACCCTAAACCCTAAACGCTACCCCTAAGCAGGGGCTCCTTTGCTGGATACACCTTCTGTTCTGGTGGCATCGGCTTGCTGCGAGGCTTTTGCCGCACGGCCAAACGGGCCGTCCGGTGCAGCTGTCGTCGCCATGATCGCTTCCTCAGCACTTTGCGTTTTAGGGTTTAGGTTTTGGGTTTGGGGCTTAGGGTTTAGGGTTGGGGTTTAGGTCTTGGGGTTCAGGACTAACTGCTCTAATCCCTGACACCCCCAGAACTACAGAATAATCAAACACCTAGCTCCCTAGCGCTGCGCAGCTCAGCACCCTAAAACCCTCCCTGCCCGCCAAGTTAACAATGCTAAATATAATCGTTAAGTTAAGCCCGGAACCCTGATTCTTTTAAGTAACTAGTCAATTTTAAGAAGGAGAATCCAAGGCAAAAAGTGACTTGGGGCCTGAGTACTTCAGCTGAAATTTTGTTGGAGGCCTAAACTTTAAACCTAAACCCCCGAAACTCCCTAGATCCTAAGCCCTGAACCTCCTCAACCCCCTGAACCCTAAACCCTAAACCCTAAACCCCCTGAGCCCTAAACCTCCCGAACCCTAAACCCCCTTGCAGTCAGGGCTCGCGAGAAGGATCCCGCCGGCCAGCAGTCGGCCAGCCGTCACCGACCTGCCTGCATCGCAGGCACCGGCTCCCACATGCGCCTGCAAAAAGTGTTTAGTTTAGGGTTTAAGGTTTAGGGTTTAGGGTTTAGGGTTTAGGGTTTAGGGTTTAGGGTTTAGGGTTTAGGGTTTAGGGTTTAGGGTTTAGGTTTAGGATTTAGGGCTTACGGGTTGAAGGACTCCGAAGCCCCTTCATTAAGCAAGTTACCGTTAACTGCAGAAGGGTCCACGCTCAGAACTTGAGGTACATTCCGTACCCCGGCGGGTTTCAGCAGCTCTGGAGATTTAGGTTTAGGGTTTAGGGTTTAGGGTTTAGGGTTTAGGGTTTAGGCTTCCCAAAGCCTTGGAAGAGGTCAGAGGCACTAAGCCGGTTCGGCTACTGGGACTGAAAAGCACTTCTGGTATGGCTAACTGAATGTACGGGCCGGCGTTAATGATTGGAACAGGGCTTTGGGATAGCATATTATACTAGAATGAAAATACGGAACCCTAACGGAACATCACTGGTACAGAAATCATTTGCTAAGAGGGTCCATATATACTACTATTGATAACAGGGATGGTCCTGTGGGACCTAATTCCATGATGGTAGTATATATGGACCCTCCGGGTTAAGCTTCTTCTGTACCTGACTGCAAGGGTTCGGCAAACTTCGCGTGTAGGGCTCAGAGTCCAGGATTTGCTAGCGGTTTTTCGGTGTAGGATCAGGGCTTGGGGTTTCGAGGTTTAAGGGCTTAGGGCTTACTGTGTCCTTTCATTGGGTACTCCCTCAAACCTCAACCCTAGACCCTGTAAATGCTGTGGCAGATATTTCCCCCAAACACTGAACAATGATCCGAAGCGTAAGGTGCAGAGGCCATGAAAGGCTACTCAGGAATTCTCAAGTTTCGGAAAATAGGTTTAAGGGTTCAGGATTTAGGGTTAGGGGAGTAGGGTTGAGGGCTGGAAGTACCACACTGTACGACAACAAGAAGCCCACCTGTGGCACCACAGCCGGCGGGGCAAGCACAGCCAACGGAGGTGATGGGGCCAACATCATGGCATCCTAAAACCTCAAACCCTAATACAACTAAAACCGGTAGACCCCAAAACCCAGAGTTCACCCTGAGCCCTTAAACCCTAAACTCTAAACCCTCGTGAGCGTTGGCTTTCACCCTAAACCCTTAACCATCTTTCAAAACGTCATGGTGTCTCCACAGTTTTTTTCGCGTGAGTGGTAAAGGGTTGCGGTTCTGATGGTTCGGGGTTTTGCAGTTAGGGGCCGACCCCTGGTGCCAAAATAGCATGTGTGGCTTGTAGTTTAAGGGTTGAGGGCTTGGGGGGACTACTTCCGTTGAGGACTTTGTTCTATCGCAGCTTTTGTTCTTGCCGCCGCCAGCCCTAAACCCTAAACCTATAAACCTAAACCCCTAAACCCTCCAACCCCTAAACCGTTATCTCGTCCACGGCTGATGGGCCACAATGCCCCTGCAAAGCAACAGAAATCCGAAGCTTCGGGTCTAGGCTTCGGGGTTTAGGGTTTAGGGTTTGGGGTTTAGGGTTTAGGGTTTAGGGTTTGGGTTTAGGGTGCAGGGTTTGGGGTTTAGGGTTTAGGGTTTAGGGTTTGTAGTTTGGGGGTTTAGGTCCTGTAACCCCAAACAGAAGGCTAACAAACCCGAAACTCTAAACGAAATCTTGTAGAGCCGCTAAGAAGCAGAACCCCCAAGTTTGACAATTAAGAAGCCCGAACCCATTTGCTAGGAATACCAGACAGGCTGTAAGCACTGACTGCTTTATAAGGCAAGATAAGGGAAGAGCGCTGGGGCACGGGAACCCTCCCGACCGTCATGGAAAACAGTTTGAAATCGACGTGGATTAGGACTAAGGCTACTGCACCCCGACCCCCCCAAGTTCTGTTTAAGGCACCCCCCATGCCCTTGCAGAACCCTAAAGAAACAGCATAGGGACCCCATTAAGAATAAGACGGCTCGTGCAATGCTTCTAGAAGACTTGAAGCAACAATTGTTGTAGAGGGGTTTAGCGTTCTATAGATGGTTTGGGAGTATAGAATAGCTAAATAAATCTATACGGACGAAAAGAAGGCAACAGCACTTCTTTTGCAGAGTTAGGATCCATGCTATGGTCCTGCGCATCACCCAGCAAGCTCATGCGTTTTAATTCGTGGTTTCAGAATTGCTGGCTTGGGGTTTAGGGTTTAGGGCTTAATCAAAGATCCTAGCTGGTCAAGCTGGCTATGACTAAATTCTGTAAACTCCCTTTAGAGTAGGTCTGTCGGGCTACAGGTAGGGCCTAAATGTCAAAACAGGGCTTGGAGATACGGCCGGACTGCTCCATGTGTTGCGAAAAGTGATCCAAAAGGATACACGTCCACTAAACCCTACAGCCCCACACCCGCAACCCTAAATCGTGGCATTACGAATCCCCTGCTATCCAAAGCAAAGAACTATAGCCGCTAGCCGACCTGAAATCCGCAACTTCAACCCCAAACGAATGACTGAACGTAGCTTCAGGGTTCGGTAAGTAACGTTTAGTGTCTAGGGTTTGGTGCATCTTTAGATCCAGCACCACAACTGAGACCGCGGCGAAGATGAACTTCAGTTAGGCGGTGTAGCGAGCGGCATCAAAGGGTTCACGTTGCGTGCGTCGAGAGAGCACTAGAAGCTGTCAAATTACTTCTGTCGGTCTTGGGACTTTTAAAACCATCCCGGATCTCTTCTGACTGCTAACTGGTCCCTCTTCTCTTGTCAGTTCCATGCGTGCTATATTGACCATGCGCCTTGGAATGTATGAACAACCCCTCAGTTATACATCTACTACGGGTGATCTCCATTCCTGCGAAATTCCACTGTTCAAGCCCCCCATGTGCTCCCCGAACAAACCCTGAGCCGTGGCAAGGCAACCAGGCAAACAAGGTTGGCGCAACAGCCTTCCAGGGTTTGGGGTTTGGGGTTTAGGTGCTATAGAGGTTTGGGGTGCCTCAAAAGTTGGAACAGGGTTAAGCATTTACCATAACACACGAGGATGCTTGCCATGTTAAGTCTTCAAGCTCTGGTACTGATCTTGGTGACGAGGATGATGGTGATTCCATTGATGCCAAAACTTTGACACCAAACCAGCCATTAAGTCCTGTCACAGGAAGTTACTTACCCCAAACCCTCAGCACCAATCCCGAAAAAGCAAAACACCCTTTCCAGATCCAAAACGCGTGCACAATCCCCAGACCCAAAACGAAACGCCCTGAACCCTGAACCTTTAACCCCGAGCCTTCTGTCGTAAAGCCCTCAAATATCCTTAAACCCGAAGCCCCAAACCCCAAGACCCAAGAAACTCCGCAAATTGCTGAACCCAAAGCCCCAAGCCAATTGCCAGAAGCACTAACAACTCCAAACACCCGTAAACCCTAGCACCCTGAACCCTGAAATCGTTTCTACCGCAACATATACGTAATTTTTCCAAACCCTAAACCCTAAACTAAGCCCTAAACCCTAAAACCCTCAACCCCAAACCCTAAAACCTGAACCCCAAACCCTAAACCCTAAACCCTCAACCCCGAACCCAAAACCGAAAGGAAGCCTCACTGAACCGGCCCACCTGCTGCTTGCATCCAGCAACCGAGAGCTATGGCCTCGGTGACAAGCGGAAAAGGCAACCCCGAGAGTTCAAAAGAGTTCAGGGCTTAATGTAGGGGCCTCAAAAATTACAATTACTAGTGCTTTTTTCGGTGTTCCATATTATATTTGCTAATACGATTTGGGGGGCTCCTTATCATAATTGCTTCTTGAAGCGTTTGGGTTTAAGGCTAATGTAGGGGCCTTAATAGTTAGAACAGGGTTTTGGGCTCCTTTATGGTACATTTATAATAAGCAACCCTAAGAACAATATATGTAACTATTTTGGCTTCTATTTTAGGGCTCAGTGCTTTCAGTGTTTAGGGTTCGAGCCTTGAGGGCTTTAATGGCTTGGGGCTTTGGGTTTTGGGGCTTTAGGCTTTGGGGCGTACAGGTTTTCTTCTTAAGCGAACTGCGTTTTTAGGGTTTAGGGTTTAGGGTTTTGGGGCGTAAAGGTTTTCTCTCTTAAGGGTTTTCAAGGTTTAGGGTTTAGGGTTTAGGCTTTGGGTTTTTGGGGGGCTTTAGGCTTCGGGGCGTAAAGGCTTCTATGGAGGCTCTGTGCGGGTTCAACAATGCAAATTTTGCAATGGCTTAACATAGGTAATGTTCTTAATTTGGGTCGCTTTTTAGGTCACCAATATAGTATAGTATCCTTATGAAATGGACCCAGAGATGGGGGCCTTCACAATTAGACTAGGGCGTGGGAGGCTACAATTTGTTTGAGACAATCTGAGGAAAGCACATTGCTGCTTGAAAGCTTCGAAACATCTGGTTAAGGGCCTCGACCCTAAGCCCTGCGCACTAAACGGGGGTTTCCGAAAATAGGGGAACCCTAATGTAGCACCCTAAATAGTAGGATCCTTACTATAAGGACCCCCAAATAAGGTACCCTAATTTTCGGAAACTCCCAAACCGGTTTCGTGCAGGGTCGATGGATTGAACACTTAAACTTTGAGAAGTTTTGGAATCGCCAGCCTTCTGTAACAGTTTCGGGTTTACACAGTTTAAAGTTAGGGTTTGAGGTTTAGGGTTTAGGGTTTAGGGCTTTAGGGTTTAGGGTTTAGGGCTTAGGGCTTAGGGCTTTAGGGCTTTAGGGCTTTAGGACCGTAGCCTTTATCGATTTTAGCACTTCGGGTTTCAAGTTTCGTTTTGCACTGGAGGAGGTTTGTGGGCAATGTTCCGTGTTTATCTCATGACGAGGATCCGTATACAACTTGAGGAATAGTCTTGAATGAAACCCTAAACCGCAACCCGACATCTCGAGCCCCTGGCGTAGACAGTCTCGAAGAATACTCGCAACAACACTGGCAAGACCCCAAACAAGAACGCAACACCATGAGCAAAACCCTAGAAAAAATCCAGGTCAGGCCATAGTAGCCTGAAATCCTAGAGGCTTAAACTCCGCAACCCAAGAACACTGAAACCCTCAACTCCGGCAAACTTCGGAACCGATGAACCCCAAATCCTGAACCGAAGAACCCTAAACCGAAGAGACTGAACGGAAGAACCGCAAAACCCTAAACCCAACAAAGCTAAACTGCCCCAAACCCTAAAGAAAACAACCCCAAACTGCCCTAAACTCTCAACTCTACACCCTAAACCGCCCTAAACCCTAAACCCTAAACTGCGCGCTACTAAACCCTAAACTGCCCTAAACCCTATATAAACCCAAAGCCCTCAACCGAGCCGTTCACCAAGGCTACAGCGACCAGGGCGAGAGCGAACGGAACGGGCCATTGCCTCCTCCCTGGGTGGAAGGCTCGGGCTTCGTTATTGTTATGATTAGTGTTGTTTACTATTCATACTCGTATATAGTACTATTGTTGTTGTGTTGTTTTGGTTTGTACAACCGTTAGTAGTACAATGAGAAGAATACTTCTTGTTGTTCTTATTAACATGGTTACTAGTACTAATCTCATGAATAACGGCTGTACTTGGTACTACTTTTATTATTCATATCGTCGTTATTATTTATATATATATATATATATTACATTGCTTATTATCGTTCTTGTTATCGTAACATTTCAAACCAGCAGGTGAAGGATCTAAGGGTTTCGGCTTTTGCTTTGGGGTTTAGGGGTTCGGGGCTTGGGGGGGGTTAGGGGGTTTAGGAAAGTTTAGGGGCTTAGGACAGTTTAGGGGTTTAGGAAAGTTTGGGGCTTTAGGGGTTTATGAAAGCTTAGGGGTTTAGGGAAGTGTAGGAGCTTAGGGGTTTAGGGATGTAGGGCTTTGGAGGAGAGCAGGATGACGACAAATCGGAAGACAGGGCTTGGATCTAGGGTTCACAGTTTAGGGTCTCTGGTTCAGGTTTAGGGTTAGGGTTTAGGGTTTAGGGTTTAGGGTTTAGGGTTCAGGGGAGAGTTGGGCCTTGCGCTGGACGGTTTAATCAAAAAGCAAAAAAAGCCGTTGCTGGCACGTGCTGCGAACC